TGGTTCCCGAGTTGAAAGTGCGGGACAAAATGTGGGACACACACACAGGCAACCCCGTGACAATATACGTTTTGTAACGCTGTTACACAGCACGAAACGCGTAATAAACGGCCAGCGCACCGGCTGTCGGTGCGAAAATGCGTTTTTGCATAGTTCTCCGCAGATTTTTGTTGCTAACGGCACTTTTTTCCGCAGGTGCTTCCAGCTAGAGGAATTGGGACTGGCTGCCGGGAACGTCCCCTTAAAATTTAACTTTTTAACTTTCTCCAGTTAGCAATTTACAAAAAATTTTCACTGGCCCTTACATGAGAACCGCGTGTAACTGGGGGCAGAGCTTGAAGTCACTAGCTTCTACATTGGTCGGGAGCATCCCCTCACAATTACAGCTTTCTAACTTTTCAGGCTGTCGAGTTAGCAACTTACCCGGCAAAAATTTTGACGGGCTCGTAATTGGGATTCGCGCGGATGGTAGAGTAGCACCCATTTTGGGATTAGGGGTTCGTACGTGCACGTAGATTAAGTCCCCCAAAGTTTCAGCTCTGTAGTCTTTATAGGTCTGGAGATGGAAAATCGGTACAGACGAGAACACTGACATACACACACACAGACACCCCCTCGGCAGTATGTGTTTTGCATTGCATAGATGCAAAAAACGCATAAAAATGAAATATCGAATGGTGTGGTAATATTCCATACTAATCATCCACACGGTCTAGATAAAAATGAGATAAACAACACTGGTTCCCACTTGTTTTTTAAACGATATCGGGGAGAGGAGTCGTGAGCAGTGGTGCCAGTGGATGTTATGAGGTCAAAAATTGAGACGCGGATGAATGCCTTTGTCATTTTTTGAGGGTTTACTGCAGGGATTTTTGTTAGTTTGCCGTTTTGGGCAGAATGTTGAATACAGTAGTGTTAGAAGTTGTTGTCTTAACTCATCACCTTACATGTTATGACTTTTCAGCTGCAATTAGCCGTCAAAAGAGGAGCTGAAGGGGATACCAGCGACGATGAAGTGCCAAGAAAGCGAGTGAAGGAAGAATCGACCAGTGATACTCCTGAACTGCTGGACGATCCGTTGTTTGGACTGGTACGCTCATTCAGTCTTAAAATTATCGCATGAAACTGCGGTTATTACATTACCATCAAACTTTGTTTAAAAGTGGTGAGATGCAATTAGATTTAGTTTGCTCTATTCGGATTAGCACTTTTCCCAGCTTTCGCTTTCCGTTTGGATGTGGCTTTTGCTCCAATTTTAGAGCTAAATTTTATGCTTCTGCGCTCGTTCATTTGCATTTTAATGTATTTTTTATATCGAAAATTGATTTTTGTATCTTTGTAGCTAAATTTTTACGTCATTCTCAGCCTTTTCCTTTTAACTTCTCTGAGCATCCCAATAGATTTATTTGTACCTCATTGGCTTGCAGTTTTACATTTTTCCTCTCTGGACATTCGTAGCGAGTTTTCGATGCAGAAGGACAAGCGACTTCTTTTGTTGCATCATAAGGAGAGTCAGAATAACTATTTAGAAGAGGGAGTAACAAATCGGCTCGGTATCTGTAAATTGAGACTGCCAGTGCTAGAAATACATCACGTAACCCTAGCAGTTATTTCAGACATACTTTTTTGTTTTTTTAAGTTGCTGGAAAAAGCACTGATTTTGTGTTTGAAAGCATCCGGTTTTATGTTAAGGCTACAAGCGCCAAAACTTTTTTTGATGGATAAAAAGGGATTTTTCAGAACAGTGTTATTTCTTGTTTTTATTGTTTGATAATTTATTTTATTATTTAGCATCGGCCGTTGTTTTTCTATCTTTTTTTATTGTTTTGTAATTTGGTTGTTTTC